AATACTCTTAAGCCCCTATTTCTTCATGTAGAATTTTTTTCCTAAAGAAATCATTAAGGAAGTAGGCAGGCAATGATTCATGAGGATGTCTGCTGCAGCATGGATGATAATCTAGAATGAATGTGTAAGATGTGTAATATATGGGAATATATGCATTAAAATGACAAAGAGAAGAGGTTTTTTTATGAGAGGGAGAGGATGGGGAAGGGTTGAGGGAAAGGGAGAGAGAATCTTAAGCAGGCTCCACGACCAGTGCGGAACCGACTTAGGGCTTGATACCACAATCCTGAGTTCACAACCTGAGTCGAAATCAAGAGTCAGATGCTTAACTTACTGAGCCACGCAGGCACCCCAGAAGAGAGGTTTTTTAATGAATGCTGGAATCCCAGGGTTGTTTCTCAATTCTCCTCTTTCTGACTTTATGGGTTTTTTTTACTCTGAGCATGAATTACCTGAGTAATAATGTTCAACTTTATTATTTATCAAGAATGCAAATGCAGATACTAGCATGGTACCATTTTCTCCCATCAAAATAGCAGAAAAAGAACTAAAGTTATACCCAACAATTGCAAGGGTGGAAGAAAACAGGCCTTCTTGGGGCACCTGGGTGGCTGAGTCAGTTAAGCGTCTGCCTTCAGCTCAGGTCATGATCTCAGGGTCCAAGGATTGAGCCCCGCGTTGGGCTCCCTGCTCAGCGGGGAGTCTGCTTCTCCCTCTCCCTCTGCCCCTCCCCCACCTGTGTGCATGCTCTCTCTCTCAAATAAATAAAATCTTTTTTAAAAAAAGAAAACAGGGGCGCCTGGGTGGCTCAGTTGTTAAGCATCTGCCTTCGGCTCAGGTCATGATCCCAGGGTCCTGGGATTGAGCCCCACATCAGGCTCCCTGCTCTGCGGGAAGCCTGCTTCTCCCTCTCCCACTCCCCCTGCTTGTGTTCCTGCTCTCGCTGTGTCTCTCTCTGTCAAATAAATACATAAATAAATAAAATCTTTAAAAAAAAATTAAAAAAAGAAAACAGGCCTTCTTATGCACAAGCTGGAGTGTAAAATGATTTCTCCTATCTTTGAGTCATCTAGCAAGACATATTAAAAACATTTAAAGCCCCCACTTTCCTTTCATCCAGCAATTCAGTTTCCAGGAATACATTCTAATATGAGAAAAGGGTGCTACAGTGCAAGAATAAGATGTTCATTCCAATTTTTCTTCTAATAGCAAAAAGATGAGAAATAATCAACAAAAAACACACACATAGACACACATGTGTCTGTTTAAAATAAAATCATACTATAGGGTTCTGTGCCTTTTTGGTGTTATTTAACCTTAATTAATGAACATCAGTATATACCACTATATGTTAATTGATCTAATTCTTCAATGGCTGCAAAATTTCCATTGTCTAGTGTTTACTGCAACTCCTATGAGCAAATACATTACTGAACACACAGGCACTTTTTACATTCTTACACCTGTTGTATATATACCACAGTCTACTTGGATGAATATACCTCTAGAATGAATCCCAAAAGGGAGATTGCTGGGAAAGAATGCTTAGTGCATTACTAACTGAGAGATACTGAGAGTGTCAGGAGTTTCTCATGAACCTCTAAACCTGCTTCCTCTCCCTCATCTAAAGGGGTGCGGATGGGTTTACACGAGCTGTTGGGGCTCAACACAGACACAACTCATACACCCTAGCTGTATACCCTCTATTGCTCTCTCTCTCCAAGGCTAGGTGTTGGGATTTCTCCCAACTGCACATGAAGGTGGTGGTTGTGAGCAGTAACTCCCAGGTGTGGTCCACACTCAGACCCACAGGAGCAGTACCTAGGCCAGCAGAAGACAAGACAGGGAAGAACAGAGCACTCCCCACCACCATCATCTCCCTCTGAAGCACACACCTGCAGTCAGTATGTGACCCTGACTCTTTCCCTCCTCCAGGTATTGGACGCAGGCTGGGTCACCACCCACTCACAGCACAGTCACAGCTGCCTCCCCTCACCATGGCTTCACCACGGCCTTGTGTCTGTACATTCTGCTCATAGCTGACCCAGGTAGCATATATCACATTTCTCCCAGTGAGTTTTTGGACAGTCTGAAAAGGGCTCACCTTTGGCCCATGTACCACCTGGGCCTTGGCCTGGGGTTGGACCTTGATACCTGCTCCGCTCCAGACTGGGCACAGTCGCTAGTCCCCATTCTTGATTATCACCTCCAACAATGGAAAATGGATGGACAAAAAAATCTCTTTTCCCTCTGTTATGGTGAGGGAGGGGAGGGACAGGAATGGCATAAAGGGATGCCATGTGGCTCCCCTCAGTGGTCCTAGCAACAACACTGTTACTTCCAGGTGTTAATTCTACCCAGAATTAGATGACCTCATGCTGGGATTTAAATAAGCATGACATGACAGTGGGACTGAGCAATTCTTAGTGACTGAATTATTTGTAAGGAGCAGGTTTTACTTGTGCCATAAAACAAATAAAATGAAATGGTATCTACAGTCTTCACAAGGATACAAACAAGGGCTTGGGAGTATCTGATTGTCCTTGGTCAGAGCAGTTGCTCTGTCCTAACGCTGTCCGAGTATGAGGTTACCCGGAAGGCTTGCAGCACTGGGCAGATTGGATTTTTTTTTTCAGTTTAGACTCCAAGCTCTCACACAGACAGGACCCCATCTTCCCAGCGCCCTGAAGAAACTTGATCCTACCCAGAGAGCACAGCTGCTGCCAACAGACAAAGCACCAAGGTCAGGGAGACAGCTGGGCAGCAGATAGCCTTTCCAAGAGATAACAGGAAATGACTAAGAGCCAATAAAAGAGCTTACCTGAGGAGAAACATGAGACTGAGGTCAGATCCCACAGTTTATGCTGATTAAAGAGTATGAAACCTCAGTCCTTCTCAATAAATCTTTATTTCATACACATGAAGATCTGAGTTGTAGGAACAGCTCCTGATTAGATATTAAAAGTGGTTATCCCTAATTAGTGAGATTAAGGAAAAATTATATAGTCTTTACACTTGGCTCTAACTTGACTCGAGCTTGTCTGTATGAGACAGGGAGGGTGAGAGGAGGGGAGAGAGGGAAGAAGAGAGGGAGTAACGTGGCAATTCTGCTTCTGCCACAGGGGTTCTTTCTAACTGTCAAAGAATGTGTGCTTCTCTAAAGGTAACCTGCAGGGTTTGGGAATGAAAGACAGAAAGGGTTTTTGGTAGGGGGTGGAGATAGGGCAGGGCAGGGCAAAGTCCTTTCTGTCTTATGGGTATCCATCTACCGTTGTTTGCCAAAGGCAGGAGCAGTGGGTGGCTGCCCTCCTCCCCTCCCCTCCCCTCCCCTCCCTCTTCCCCTGACAGTGGAGGACCAGACCACCGAGGTGACGGTGAAGCTTTTGGAGGTTTACCAGATTGCAGGAGACTTGCAACCCTGAGGACTGCGTTTTACCTGCTGTGTTACCTGTGGAGTACCATGTGTCTTTGGAGCCCTGGAACATGCTGGCTTCAGGAAAACAAAGTCAACTAACTGTCTGAGAGGAGTAGGAGGTGAACTTTTCCAAAGCTTCTCTCCTCTTTTGGGATCGTGCTGCACATACACAATGCTACATAACCAGCTGTTTCAAGTTAATAACTCAATGTGAGCAGCACCAATATGACAGCAGACATTATTCAGTATTAGTTTTCATGGGTGGCCACATTTCATTTCCAAATGTGCTGCAATTTATTTATATAGCAAGTCCATGACCATTCTTTTTATAAATTAAACTGCTTTGGAAGTCCCATGTATCTAAATCTTTGTTCACATCCAAGACAGTTTCCTTAATATAAAGTTTTATTTTTTTTTACGATTTTATTTATTTATTTGAGAGAGAGAGAGTGAAAGAGAGACATCATGAGCACGGGGGAGGGTAGAGGGAGAAAAAGACTGCCCACTGAGCTGGGAGCCTGATGTTTGACTTGATCCCAGGACCCTGGGATCATGACCTGAGTGGAAGGCAGACGCTTAACTGACTGAGCCACCCAGGTGCCCTAACATAAAGGTTTTAGAAGTACAAGTGCTGGGTTACAAGATGTGTATGAGTTTTAAAGCTTATATATTCGGATTTGGATTTATCAATCCTTTTCTTTGCATTTTCTGGATTCCTCTCATGCTTAAAATGGCTTTGCACACTTTCAGAGCCTAAAAGCTTTCACACATCTCTGGGGAGACTAAAGATTCTCTTGAGGGCCCCTGGGACAGCTGCACTGAGGAGAAAATTTGGAGGGCCAATTGGCAGATGAAATGCAGGGCTGGGAACAGTCCTAGACACACTGAAAGATTTTGGGGGTGGAGAAGGGAAGGACAAGTCTTCCAGGACTCGGAAACAATGCCCTGCTCCAGGCGGGGCAGAGTTTCTGCTTGGTTAGGGAAGGCTGGATCCACAGCCTATGTGACACACACATTGCCGTGCATACCCCCAGGTGTTATTACACATACCTCCAAAGCTTGGGATTGGCTGGTGAAGTTGACTCTGCAGAGGTTGTGTTTAGGTGGCAACGGAAGATAGATACCATTTTCATTCCCTTTCTGATTCTCCAACAGGCTCTCGGCTGTCTCTCGGCAAGTGTAAATGTGAATAGGTGTGAATGCATGAGAGTGAGGGGGTGCCAGCAAGACTCAGATGGATCGGGGCAGAGAGATCTGTAGTCTCTGAGAAGGAAGTTCCTCCAAGTCGTCATCTTTCTCCTCAAAGGTCCTGTGGCTGCCATGGCCCTTGTGTGGTGGGGCCAGGACAAGGGAGGATGGTGGGCTGCAAAGGGGTCAGATGAAGTTGGGGTGAGTCTTGGGGATGTTATTTGAGGTATCTGGGTGCCAGAAGCATCAGGTACTGCCGACAAAGGACAGATGAAGGAATCCTTGGTGGGGTCCCGGATGAAGGGATGAGACAGCCCCGCCCGTGCAGTACATGCGGGATGCAGTGCGCATGCCCAGTGCCCACACTGTCCCATCAGCCATTGCTGTGGGGGTGTGTGCAACGTGGTCCGTGTGCAGTGCAGTGCAGATTGCATCGTTCTGCCTGGATTCTTTCTCACTGTCTGAGACTCAATAGGTAGGTCTCCAGATCAGTCTAGAAGTTTAAATGCGAGTTTGAGGAGAGAGCTAGTGGGCTTTGGGTGGGCCAGGACCGTGTAGTTCCTGGCCTCTGTGGCGGAAAGCCCCTGAGGTCTTCGTTCTTCTCACGGGTGTTGCAGCTACCATGGCTCTTGTCACGGTGGAGAACAAGTGAGGATGGTGGGCTGTGGAGGGGGGGGTCATATGAAGATGGGACAGAGATTGGGGCATCATTTGATGTATCTGGGTCCCGGAGGCACCAGGAGCTGAAAGAGGGCAGATTTGGGAATTTTTGGCACGGCCCTGGTGGGGGGAGGGGAAGCCATGCCACGTGGCACGTGCTCAGTGCGCATGTCCATTGCTACGCGCCTTCTCATCAGCGGTTGGTGTGAGACGTGGGCAAAAAGCTCTGGGTGCAGAGTTGTGCAAGTGGCGTCTTTCTGTCTGGATTCTTTCTCACTGAGACGATCATTCTCCCAGGAGTTTAAGTGTGAGTGAGTAAGGAAAGAGCGGGCTTCAGGCAGGTCTCCAAGGAGCAAGGTTCTTGGGGCAATCGTATTTCTCTTCACGGGTCTTGCGGTTGCCATGGCTTTTGTCTTTGTTGGGGGGTGCTGAGACAAGGGAGGATGGCGGGCCAGTGAGGAAGGGGGGGTCAGATGAAGATGGGACGAATCTTGGCGATGTTATTTGAGGTATCTGGGTCTTGGAGACACTGGGAACTGCCGATAGAGGACAGATTTGGGAATTTTTGGTGAGGCCTCAGTGAGGGGGCAGGGAAGCCCTTCCCCTACGGCACGTGCAGGATGCAGTGCACATGCGCATTGCCTAGCACTTTCCCGGTGGTTGGTGTGGGGGCGTGTGCAGCGCGTTCCGGGTGCTGAGCTGAACAGGGCCAGTCTTACTTGTGGATTTTTTCTCAGACTCAGTCGGTAGGTCCGCAGATTTGTCCACCCAGGAGTTCAAGTTTGAGTGAATGTGAGGAGGGTGCTGTCTTTCGGTGGGTAGGGGCAGTGTGGTTCCTGGTCTCTGGGGAGTAAATTCCTTGAGGTCGTTATCCTCCCCACAGGTATAGCCACCATGGCCTTTGTAGTGGGGGGGGGGCGGCTGGGACAGGGAGGATGATGGGCTGTGAAGGGGAGGGTGCCAGTTGAAGATGAGGGGAGTCTAAGGGGTGCTATTGGAGGCATCTGAGTCCTGGAGGCACTTGAAACTGCTGACAGAGCACAGAATTGAGAATGGTCAGTGGGGAGGTGGACAGGGCTATATATTATGAAATCTATTCATAGTGGGGAGTCCAGTTGTGAAACTAAATCTCTTTGGGAAAGTTGTATGTCTCTTTTCAAGTACTCGAAGGTCCCTTGTCTGCCAGATTGCTGTGAAACAGATTTTATAGACAGCCTAATTTGATGTGATTAGAAAATAGGCAGTTGTTATTAATTCAAGATTTATTTTGGAAATCTCAAAAAATGTAAAAAAAGAATTTATAATGAGCAGTTGGCTGTGAAGATAGTCCAGTATAATTATTGTTTTATTACAATTTTCAGTTAACGATTTTCTACTTTCAGTGAGAAATATGAGTGCTCAAGTAAGATCAAGATCTAGAGGAAAGAGAGATGGAAAAAAGCCTAAGCTGGATGAACCTGGGGTTGTGAGTGCTTTAACCTCTTATTTCCATTGGCAGAAATAATTTTTTATGAAAACCCATTGAAAAAGTTGTTGAACCAATATAGATCTGTTGTTTAAAGGACTTCCTTGCTGAAAATGGGTGAAAAATTAATCCCACGAAAGAGACTGAACAAAAAGACTTATATTCTGTTGTTGCCTGGTTATGTAAATTGAGCCTGGAACTTGTCTCTATGATTTTCCTATTGTACTTGTTAATAAACAGGTAATACATCTCAGAAAAGATGAAGAAGTTTTCCAGAATTATTAATCCTTGCAGATAATTCCTTTTTTAGAATATTTTCTTTATAAGAAAGAGTAATTTTATCGAATACTTACAGAGAAGAGCATAGGAAAAATTCAGATTTGTGATTAATTACTCCATGTAGTATGTATATTTGTGCCTATCATTATAGTATTAATATCAATACTCCTTATTTGCACCTACCCTCCTCCAAGGCTAAGCAACCATGTAAAAAAATGCTGCAAAAAAAGGAACCACCAACTGAGGATCCAGATATTGAGCCTGGACTAGAGAGAGAAGAAGGAGCATGTGGGATTCAAGGTGATGAGGGGATGGAGAAACATGTTGTATTTCATTTATGAGGTTGTATTAGTAATAGAAATGGATAAAGGGTTCCCTGAAAATTGGCTGGAAACCTGTTTGGTAAGGGAAAGATGTAGTTTGCAGCTGACTACAGTCCCTCTCTGATAAGTGTTCCTTCTTTCAGCACTTCACCATCCCATGGTGAATTAAAATTATTTGGCATGCTTGGAAAATATTATTTGGCATGCTTGGAAAATGCAATTCTTCCCAAGGCTCTATATTAGCAAATCAAGGGAAACAACATTAAATTTAGATAGAATTTACACTATATCACTAGTTAAATTTGGCCTTTTTTGAATGCTGTTTTCTGGGCTTCTGAAGTCATTGCATCAAACATTTGAGCAAACCTAGATATATTTTGGTTAGTTCTTAGATTGTAATTTTTGAAAATCATAGAGAAACAAAAATGTGAAATCCTTTCCTAGTTGCTGTTAAAGTCTTCAATATTTTTGTTTTCCTGAACCATAATCTAGTTGTCACATATTCTTTTTTTTTTAAAGATTGATTTACTTTAGAGAGAGAGGGGCCTGTGTGTGCGTGTGTGAGTGGAGGGAGGGGCAGGGGGGAGAGGGAGAGAGAGAATCTCAAGCAGACTCCCTGCTGAGCGCAGAGCCCTATGCGGGGGCTCGATCCCACGACCCTGAGATCCTGACCCGAGCTGAAACCAAGAGTCAGAGGCTCAACTGACTGAGCCACCCAGGTGCCCCTTGGCTTAGTAGTATCTTTTATACCATTATTTTTTCCTGATCCGGGATCAACCCAAAACCACCCACTGTATTTAGTTGTCATCTCTCTTTGGACTCCTTTTTCCTAGAAGTGTACTTCAGTCTTTCTTTGTCTTTCATGATTGACATTTTTTGGAATCTAAACCATTTGTTTTGTAAAATATTCATCAGCTTGAGTTTGTCTCGTCTTACTATTTGTAATGATTTTTTTCAGTAATTTATTGGGGCCTGCTTGGTGGCAGGTAATGTATTGAGGAAATGCTGAGGAAAAAAATATAAATGAGAGAATGATTTTTGTCTTGAGCTCACAGTCTTGCCAGAAATTCATGTAAACAAATGGCTGATCTAATAAGTATAATAATAGAAGTGTATATAGGTTACAAAGGTGACAACTAAGTTGTCTTAAAACAGTTTTATAAAAGGAAATGCTTCATAGAGGAGATAATATATGAGAAACACAACTCCATTTTCTAGCAGAAAACTCTTAATGCTCATTGCATTTTTATACATCACATTTTTTACAGTACAAACCTACAGAGCTTTATTTAGTAAGATTAATTTATGGTTTACTGCTTACATTTGTAATTCTGTTTATTTATATAAGAACCTGAATTGGAAGGTAAAAGCCAGGAAAAGGGTCTGGAAAAGACTGGGGGTGAGCTTGGAGATGGCCCTGATGTGAAAGGGAAGACTCCACCTAACACCTCCTAAATTCAAGAAGTAGGTAAGTTATCCATTAAGAATACAAGTCATGGGGTTGTTTTTTTCTGCAATATTATCATACCTTTGTAACAAATCACAAATATAAAGATTATTTGGAAGGTAGTTCAGACATCAAATGTTAGATTCAAAGACAGAGTCAGAGCAAAAAAATAAGTCAAAGCCATGTTGTTGAATTACAAAATATGGAAGTATTATTACTTTGGAATAGAAGTCCTTTGAAACCCAATGCAAGTGGTCGAATACTTTTTAAAGTACATGAATTATTTAACATACCCAAATATCAATTGGATATCTAAACAACACAGTAGTATTGATTTTCTTTTAATTTGCCTAAACTGTTTCTCAAAAATAACTATATCTTTTAGACACCAAAAAATAATATGGATCTCTTTGTTTTGTTTTTATAGGTTAGTTTGTTGATTTTTTTTAAAATTGTGAGCTCTACCGATGAGAAATGGTGATATTTTCCTTCACATTTTAATGTCATCTATGATGGCAGTCGCTTATAATTAGTGTGATCTGTAATTTTTTTTTTTTTTTGGTAATCATGTAATTATCATCACCTAAACCAGGACACTCTTGAGAGTTAAAGGGAGTATTGTTGACTGCTTACACCAGGACAACAGGTGCAAATGAACAAAATGACCACCATACTATAAATAGACCATATAAAGGTTGAGCTAGATCAGCGAGATAATTTTGCACAAAAGAGACAAACCAAATGGAATAATGTCCTTTGCCCTCTATGTAGTTAAAACAGTTCCAAGTATGACATTATTATTTTAGCTAATATGGATAATTAGAAGACTATTTCAAGTGAATGAATTTGAATGAATTCGAATGACACTGGGTTTACTTGTTTGTTTTGCTTCTTGGAGTTTCTGCTTGGTTGATTTTCTTTTAACTGAAATAACCGGCATATTTTGCTCACTACTTAAAATTATCTTTAAATAAGCTCTTGGAATTTAGTCTGTTCTGGATTTGAGAAATCTGTGTTTCTTCATGCCACCAAAAAGAGTGATGCGTTTAAAAAGTTAGAAAAGTTAGAAAGCCTGAAAATGTACATTAGCATAGAAGTGTATGCAGTGGTTAGGGTTCTGGTTTTAGGTTCATCTTATAAAACCAAAGCCGTAGTGTCCTTTGTATACTTTTGTTATTGTCTAAAGTTCTGCTAAGTGATGTACCCAACTGTTATGTTTATGTTTTAGGTGATGGACAGTCATAAGTTAAAAAGACAAGAAGCTGAAGCCACACATACAGTTTGTTATATTGATAATTTGGCTTAAATTCTCTCAATAAAGATTTCAAAGTTTGCCCTGAAGTTGTCATGCATATCTTTTGTTAAATCTGGTCCTAGGAATCTGATACTATTATAAATGGTATTTAAAAAAAACTATGTTCTATTTAGAGCTGGTCTATAGAAGTGCTATTTATTTTTGTGTAATTAATTTTGTCTGGCAACTTTGCTAAGTTTATTCTAATAGTGTATCTCTACATCCTCTTGGATTTTCTACATACGCAATCATACCTTATGCAGATAATAACTCTTCTTTCTTCCTTTTGAATCTTTATACTTTGTAGTTCTTGTCCTTACTTTTTGATACTGGCCATGTCCTTTTAAGTACAATGTTGGATAGAAGCAGTGATAGTAGACATCCTTGTATATTCCTGATTTCTCTTTCAACATTTCACTATGATGTATACTATAGATTTTTAAAAATGAGATGTCTTCTATTAGATTAAGGAAGTTCCTTTTTATTCCTAGTTTGCTAAAAATATTTACCATGAATAGTACTCTACATCGATTGAGGTGATCTTAAGAGGTTTTTTCATTAATCTGTTAATGTGGATTCCTAGAATAAACCCAATTTTAAGTCATGATATATTGTCCTTCTTATGTATTGTTGGATTCCCCTCTCTAATATTTTGTTCTGGATATTTGCATCTTTGTGAGTGAGATTGCCCCATAATTTTATGTACTCTCCATATTGGGCTTTGTTATCAAGGGTTATTCTGGCTTCAGAAATGTGCTGAGGTATATATCTTCTTTTTCTGTTTTCTGGTAGAGTTCATCTAACTTTGGAATTATTTCTTAAATGTTTGATAGGATTTATTAGTGAAGCCATCTAAACCTGGAGTTCGCTTTTTAGGAAAGTTTGAAATTAATGATTTAATATTTTCTATTCTTTGGTCAGTTTGGGTTTTATTTTTAGAGGGCTTTGGCCATGTTATTCCAATTTTCATTACAGAGTTGTCCATAATATCCTCATTATTCTCTTAATGTCTGCAGGATCTGTAGTGATAACTGCCATTTTAATTCTTAGTACTGATAATTTGTGCCCTCTCTCTTGTGTTCTTAACCAGTCTCACCAGAGGTTTACCAACAGTACTAGTTTTTTCAAAATAAATCAACCTTTGGCTATGCTGATCCTATTCTATTTTTGTTCTTTATTAATTTCGTCTCTCACCTTTATCATTTTTGTTCTTTCTCTGTTTAATTTGCTGTTCTTTTTTCTAACTCTGAAAAAATGTTTAGCTCACTAACTTCAGCCTTTATAATGTACACTTTTAAATGATAACATTCTTCATAAATAGGGCTTTAGCTTCATCTCAAAAGTTTTGATATATAGTATATTTGTTATTTAACTCAGAATACTTTCTAATTCTCATTCTGATTTCTTTGAACTGTGGACTACTTCTAAGTGTATTCCTTAACTTTTAAACATAAAGACAAACATAAGAATTCAGAAAATTTGAAACTAAAAGGATGGGCAAAAGATAATCTGCACAAAATTGTGAAAATTGGCTTTCAGGAAAATAAGCATTACTAGAGAATAAGGGATATTTCACGTAGAAAAATTCAATTTGTCAGGAATATTTAACAATTTTAAATATGAACCTAATAGCGTGGCTTCAAAATGTAAGGGAAAAAATGGAAGAATCACAAGGAGAAATCAGTGTCCGAGTAAGCAGACAAAATCAGTAAGGAAGGATATATAAGATTTGCGTATCGTGATTAATATATTTTACCTAATGGAAATAGATAGAACTGTGTATTCAACAACTGAATATGTATTCTTTTCAGTGTAATTATTCAGTCAGAGGACCTATGCTGTATATTTCAATTCTTTGAAATGTTTTGCATTTTTATGACCCACCATATGGTCAATTTTTGTAAAAATTGCATATGTGCTTGAAAAGAATGTGTATTCACTTGTTGAATGTAGGTTACGTACGCTGCCTAACTTAGTGTTCCTATCCTGCACTTATTTTAGTGCTGTGGTCACCTTGCCCTGACAAGGCAAGGACCCTTGGGCAGTGGCTCAGGTCCCGTGGCCTTTGTCAGCATCCACTTGACCAATAGGAAACGAGTTCATTCTTGCCATGTCATATAGTGGTAGTAGAGCAGGTCCCTATGCTGTGGTTACTTTTCTCCCAGCTGTCCTAGGCTGCTCTACAAGCCTTTCTCTTTGAAATTTCTCCGGGCAAAAACCAGGCATCAGTCTCCAGGGCATACACTTTAAGCACTAAAAACTTGGTCATCACACTCCATTCTACTGCAACACTGGAATGGGTCTCTGATTTTCTATAGCTCAGAGCATACGGCCGGTGAGATGCCAGTCTTCCTTTCTTAACATATTCCAGATGTCTTTTAGTGGCTCTCTCAGATTTCCATTCAATTGATTTTAATTGAGGTGGGTAACATAACCTCCCTCCAGCTCAGAGTAGGGACGATTTCTTTCACACCAGCCTCCGCTAAGTTGACAACCCACAACTTAGGTATTTTATTTTCAATAGACTCTTCTTTAAGGGGTTTTCAAACTTCTGATCATCTTTATGTAGACTGGTGAGGCTAGCAGAATGAGGAAATATATTTTTCCCATCTCTGTAAAATGTGAGGTTACTTATTGCCTGTTGTCCTGTTGTCAGTAGGCATTTGGATATAGTGAATTTAGGAGAGAGGTATAAATTTGAAATTCATTACAGATGTAGAAAGCATCTGAAGCCATGGATCCACAGGAACTCACCTAGGGAGAGATTATATATGGAGAAGAGAGCCACAGGCAGAGTCCTGGAACCCTCTACATAAGGAAGAATTTAGGACTGAGAAAAAGGACTACCAGAAAGATAGGAAGAAAACTAGGTGAGTGTGGTATCAGGAAAATCTAAAGGAAATAAAGTGTTGGAAGAAGTAATAAGCAGTCAACAATTTAAAATGGTGAGAGGTCGGGGCGCCTGGGTGGCTCAGTCATAAGTGTCTGCTTTCGGCTCAGGTCATGATCCCGGGGTCCTGGGATCAAGCCCCGCATCGGGCTCCCTGCTCCGCGGGAAGCCTGCTTCTCCCTCTGCTGCTCCCCCTGCTTGTGTTCCCTCTCTCATTATCTTTCTGTCAAATAAATAAAATCTTAAAAAAAATGAAATAAAATAAAATGGTGAGAGGTCATGCAAAGAGGGTATAGGAAATTGTTAATCTGGCAAGATGCATGTCAGCAGAGACCTTGGTAAGAGCTACTTTCATGGAGGAGGAAAGCCTGACTGAAGAGGATTAAGGTGAAATGGGAGGTGAGTAAATAGATATGGTGATTATAGAAAATGTATTTTAAGGAGTTTTGATGTGAGGAAGAAGGAAATGGAAATTTAGGTAGGCTAGCATGAGGCAAGGACGGGGGATTATTTTTTGATTGAGTGATATTAAGGCATGTTTGTGTGGTACAGGCGAGGATGGAAGACTTGATAAGGCCATAGGGATGGGATTCAGGCACAAATGGAGGGGTTGGCCTTGAATAGGAACAGGGACAACTTTCCACAGTAATGTGGGAAGGCTAATTTTGGAAGACCAAAGGAGAAATTTCTATCTGAGTAGAAGAGAAGATTAGAAAACAGACTGGGGACTTCTACTTTTCCTTTTATACCTTTCTATGAGTTTTGAACTTTTAAAAAATATTTTCTTTATTTGAGATAGCAAGAGCAGGGGGCAGAGGGAGAAGCAGGCTCCCCACTGAGCAGGGAGCCCGATGCGGGGCTCGATCCCAGGACTCCAGGATCATGACCTGAGCCGAAGGCAGATGCTTAGCCTACTGAGCCACCCAGGCGCCCCAGAAAAGTATTTTTAAAGAGAAACTTGTGGTCACTTACTTTGCAGCCGTCTTGTGCATAAGGGTACACGTGAATCCCCCCTACTAGGAGAAATTGCAGCTCTTATACACTTCCCTTCCTTGGCCAAGGTGCAACCAGGCCTGACGAACAGTTAATGGAGACATTCTGTCAGGGTCACATTAAGATCCTTAGAGGCTCTGAGCTTTGAAAAGATTATGGAGTGCCCTCCTTCCCATTTACCATATGTATTTCATGATAAAAAAAATCTATGATAGGGACACCTGGGGGGCTCAGTTGGTTAAGCGTCTGCCTTAGGCTCAGGTCATGATCCGAGGGTCTTGAGTTGGGTTCCTTGCTCAGCAGGGAGCCTGCTTCTCCCTCTGCCTGCCGCTCCCCCTGCTTGTGTGCACTCTCTCTCTCTCTCAGACAAATAATCTTTAAAAAATTGATGGTAAAATGGGGAGCCTGGGTGGTGCAGTGGATTAAGCGTCTGACTCTTGGTTTTGGCTTGGGTTGTGATCTCAGGGTTGGGGGATTGAGCCCCCAGCCGTGCTCTGTGCTCAGTGAGGAGTCATCTTTAGGACTCTCTCTCTCCCTCTGCCCCTCCTCTGTGTGTGCTCTCTATCTCTCCCTTCCTCCTTCTCTACCCCTCTCTTCCCTCTCCCTGTCTAAAATTAAAATTGATGGTAAAATTTTTGTATTTTTCCCATGATGTTGATTTGCTGTTTCTTTGAATATCAAATTCAAGTATCGAAATGTTTTTAATGATCTCTTCCCTCATTGCCAGGGGTCCCTTGTTTGGCCATTAGGGTGACCTAGCACTGATTCCAGTCCTTCCTTCAGACATTTATCCTTCCCGGTCCATCACCTAGTCCTGGGTTGTTCTAGATGCAAAGAAATAGTACATCCTGGACACCATACTCCGTTTCCATGTCTGTTATCTGGGGGCAGGAGAGAGGTGCCCGCTGGATGGTACTAAGCACCTCATGACCACAGGGAACCAATTTGAGTGTTTCATTGCAGGCCACAAGGGCAGGCATTTATTGGAAAGATGCTGAGGTGCTTCAAGGAATTGAAGCAATGAGTTGGCTTAGGAAGGCAGGGCACCAGGGCAGCTGCTGGGGACCTCAGCTGTATGGGAACCGAGCATCTCATTCTTCTTAAAGGCTCCTAATTCTTGACGACCAAGTCCTGCTGCTAACCCCGGGAGGCCCAGGCACCACCTCCTCCCTGCAGGAAGGGGCCAGGCTGAGGGCCAAGGTCCAGCGCTAAGCAAGCAGAACTCTGCTAGGGTACACTCAGGCAGCACAGCCCCACGGGCCAGGCAGCGTATTCCCCGCCAAGGCCAGCCGTCCCAGGACTCAGGGAACGGACTCTTCCTAGAACACCCTCTCCTTGATCTTTGGACACTGGCGATCTACTTCTTCGCAGCGCCGTCCTGACTCCCTGGCACCAGCGGCCCCTTTCCCCAAGTGCCCGCGGCTCTCAGTGCAGGAGTTCTGCGAGGCCCTCAGACCCAGGCCCCCCCCCCCCCCCCCCCCCCCCCCC